AGGACGAACAACCTTCAGAACACGGCCAAAGAGCCCGAAAACCCCATAACAACCAAAATGGAATTAGCTGCCTAAAATAATAATAATAATAATTCCTGTGTGGGAAACCCCTAAAATATCAATCTAAAGAAATTTTCCCAATATTGGAAAGGATACTGTCCTGAATCGTTCTTGATTTCCTTTGAGAGCTTGTTGGGACTTTAACCCCAAAGATGATGAGAAGATGATAATAATTTTAAAGTCACAGATAGGGGGCGTTTTATCTGAGATCTATTCACAGATGCCTCTTGAACAAGCTAGAGATTTTGTTGGTTACTGAAAGATGATATATTACTGATTTGGGATTAATTCAGAGCATCTCCATCAATTTCAAAGAAACCTGAGGAGTCTTTTGCTCAACTTGGGCTACGTTTAAATCAGTATCTTAATAAGTGGCTAGAACAGGAATAATCCAAACACACTTTCCCAACATCAGGATCTTTTCCAGGGAGTCTTCTCTTCTCATCAGATGGCCAAAGTATTGGAGCCTCAGCTTCAGGATCCATCCTTCCAGTGAACACTCAGAGTTGATTTCCTTCAGAATGGATAGGTTTGTTCTCCTTGCAGTTCAGGGGACTCTCAAGAGCCTCCTCCAGCACCACAATTCAAAAGCATCAATTCTTCGGCGGTCAGCTTTCTTTATGGTCCAGCTTTCACTTCCATATATCACTACAGGAAAAACCATAGCTTTGACTATGTGGACCTTTATTGGCAAGGTGATGTCTCTGCTTTTTAAGATGCTGTATCGGTTTGTCATCGCTTTCCTCCCATGAAGCAGGTGTCTTTCAATTTTGTGGCTGCTGTCCCCATCTAGAATGATCATGGAGCCCAAGAAAGTAAAGTCTGTCATTGCCTCCATATCTTCCCCTCCTATTCGCTAGGAGGTGATGGGACCAGTGGCGATGGCCTTAGGTTTTTTTATGTTGAGCTTCAGACCATTTTTTGCACTCTCCTGTTTTACCCTCATTAAGAGGTTCTTTAATTCCTCCTCACTTTCTGCTATCAGAGTGGTAGCATCTGCATAGCAGAGGTTGTTGATATTTGTTCCATATAGGTTTCTCATGAGACAGATAAGGTGGTCAGGCACTCCCATTTCTTTAAGGACTTGCCATAGTTTGCTGTGGTCCACACAGTCAAAGGCTTTTGCATAGTCAATGAAGCAGTAGTTTTTTTTTTCTGGAACTCTCTTGCTTTCTCCATAATCCAGCGCATGTTAGCAATTTGGTCTCTATAGATCAAAGGTGAGCAATGTGGCCCATTAGATGGTTTTGGACTGTAGTTCTCATAATCTACAGCAGTGGTTCTTAACCTTTGTTACTCGGATGCTTTTGAACTGCAACTCCCAGAAACCCCAGCCAGCACAGTTGGTGGTGAAGGCTTCTGGGAGTTGCAGTCCAAAACTCCTGAGTAACCCAAGGTTAAGAACCAGTGATCTACAGCATAGGTTGGAAAACAGGGGTAAATTACCCCAAATTGGGAAAAAGCGAAAATCCTGGGGGTAATGAGCAGAGTGCTACACCCCTCTCTTCCTCCCACCCCCACCCTCTGCAGCCAAATCTCAAATTGTAAGTCACCTCTCCCTGTTACTTCCTGATTGCAGCAGGCAGTTCTAAATCCTCCCTTAGTGTTTAGATCAGGAGATAAACTCCTTGACTGGTTGCAGCTGTGGATTAGGCCCAGGCAATCAATTAATCAATCAATCAATCCGGGACTTCTGAATGACTGCTTCCTCCGGAAATGAATGCAAGCAAGCAGGAGGCGGGGAAAGGATAAAGGAACAAGCAAAGGAGGGAAGAAAGGTGCAAGAGACCGAGTGTAACAGCCTCCTTATACTTCACAAAGGGGCCATTACGTCACACTCAATCACTCTTCGTTTCCACTGCCACCAACCATTCCCTCAAATGAAGCTTCAGGCCAAAGTATGATTTCAAAATAAAAACTTAGGTTTATTGTGTACAAACAAAAGGAATGGTAAATCACTTGTATATAAATAATACTTTAATCACTATAATAATATAACTATCACACACACACTCTCACAGACTCTCACAATATAGCACAGTTCTTATCTCTCAGTATCTCCAAGCCCTATCTGAATCTCTCACACCATTCACTCCCCTTATATACAACAGCTCCACCCCTTATGTCCCACCCTCCGTCACGC